TCCCGACCTCATCTCGCGATTACCTGGACAACCACCTAGCATGGCTGCTGTAAGTTCCCCTTCTCGTCCTACCTCATCGTCATCTGCCGGGGACGAAACAGCTCGTCAGACACCGCCCGCTGTCCTTGCGCTCCTCGTTTGCGTCATTGCTCTCACTGTCGCGCTGCCATGTCGTCGGAGCTGGGGTCGTCGATAGCTTCTCTCCGTCACTCCGCAGACACGTGCTAACATGTCATCGCCCCTTCAGCCTCGTCCATACAACAACAACCCGGGCTACATGCCCAACGGAGCTTCTTCCATCAACCCCGGCGCCGCGCCGCTCCTTCCCAACCAGGGTCGCGTTCTCCAGACTGGCCCAATCCGTGTCCTGTGCATAGCTGACGTCCGAGGTTCGTTGCCATCCCACCAAACGGGGCCAAGCCGCTCCCCCTGTAGAGCTTCAATCTGACCTACTCTTCACAGGCAACCTCCGATCTCTGAACGACCTGGCGCAACAAGCACGAGCCGACCACATCATCCACACTGGCGACTTTGGCTTCTACGACGACACCTCCCTGGAGCGAATCGCTGAAAAGTAAGGACCCCTCCGCGAATCCACACCCGACCGCTGTCATTCTGACATTGGTACGAAGGACCCTTAAGCATGTTGCTCAGTACTCGCCTTTGATCCACGAGGATATCAAGAAGCAGATTCAACAGGGCGGCCCCGGTCCAGTCAAGAGCCGATTCGCGCCTCACGAGCTCCCCCTCTCCCAGCTGTCTCAGCTTCTGAGCGGCGAGGTTAAGCTCGATGTCCCCGTATACACCGTATGGGGTGCTTGCGAAGATGTGCGCGTTCTCGAGAAGTTCCGGTCCGGCGAGTACAAGGTTCACAACCTGCACATCATCGACGAGGCCCGATCGATGCTCCTGGAGATTGGCGGAGTGAAGCTCCGTCTGTTGGGTCTTGGCGGTGCTGTCGTCATGCACAAGCTCTTCGACAATGGTGAAGGTAGGACCACCATTGCCGGAGGCCAGGGCACCATGTGGACCACTCTCCTGCAGATGGGTGAGCTCGTCGACACTGCCCACCGTGTCTACGACCCCACCGAAACCCGCGTCTTCGTCACCCACGCCTCTCCCGCCCGTGAGGGTATCCTGAACCAGCTCTCCGTCACCCTCAAGGCTGACTTTTCCATCTCCGCCGGCCTTCACTTCCGCTATGGCAGCTCCTACAACGAGTTCAGTGTCAACCCCACCCTCGACCACTACCGCGGCAAGCTTGCCGCCTCCAAGGCCTCCTTCAACGACGTCTGGGAGACTGTCAAGGGTGAGGTCGAGCCCGCCATCTCCCAGAACGAGGCGCAGCAGAACCTGCTCAAGAACGCTCTCCAGATTGTCGAGAAGATGCCTACCACGGCCGCTGGTGGCAACCCCTTCGGCGGACCCGTCGCTGGCCAAGCTCAGCTTGGTCAGGTCGACGAGAGCGCCTTCAAGAACATGTGGAACTTTAACCTGGCAGATGCCGCCTTCGGCTACCTGGTTCTTGAGATCCAAGACGGCCGTATCGGAACCGAGATGCGTGCGCAGGGCTTCAACTTCTCACATAGGGGTGCTAAGACGGCGGCGCCTGTCCCGGCTTCGGCCCCAGCTGGAGCTCCCGGAAACCTTCCAGCTCCCGCCCCGCCCTCGACCCAAAGCACAGCTCCCCCTCCTACCAGCAGACAACCCTCATCCCAAGCGCCTCCCAAGCCTGCTGTCGCCACACCTCTTCCCCCTGCTAAGCCTGCTACGCCTCAACCCGCGGCCGCTGCTGCACCGCCCGCAGTGCCGCCCAAGGATGAGCGCCCCGCGCCTGCGGCTGCCAACGGATCAGCCCACGGCCCTGACCCCGTCTCTTCGCCTGCACCCAAGACTCCCGCTCAAGACATCATCGGACTGTTCATTATGAATGTCAGCTCCGAAGAGCAGACGCGCGATCTCTTCGATGGTGAACACAAGGCTAAGATTCTCAAGATTGAGAAGTGGGGTAACTCGAACAAGGTGGTTCAGTTCAAGACTGTCGAAGACCGTGACGCCGCCCTTAACAGCCTGCCCGAGGACCTCAAGACCCGCGCCCAGGAAGACCGCTCTCGTCCCCTTGTCAAGGTGTTCCAGCACCGCGAGACCAAGTTCCAGCCCCGTGGCGGTGCCGGCAACTGGGGAAGCAGCAGAGGCGGCAGCAACTCTGCCAACACTGGCAGTGGCTACCGTAGTGCCGGTGGAGCCAGTGACTCTGAGAGCAACCGCCGTGGCCGTGGAGGTGGTCGAGGCGGCCGTGGAGGCGACCGGGGACGTGGCGGCCGTGGTCGAGGTGGACTCAAGGGTGATGGTGGAGCTTCACCTGCCCCCGGCCCCGCCACACCGGCGGAGTAGGACTCTTCTCTCAGAGTCATTGATAAGAGTGCTGCGGAGGGCGGCACTTGCTCCTCGGAATCGGGGAAGCGCCGCCGTCTGTCCAAGGCTAATGACGTCCTTGCAGCCTTAATGGTCAAGTTTGGCCCCTCGAAGACAGGGGAATGAAGGACACGATTATTCTTTTTCGGTTATGAAGGGAGAAAGGGGGGGCAAAGAAAATAAGTGCTACCAATTCTTGTACGCGTACCTTAATGAGATGAATAGGTGGGGAAGGTCTCTCGGTTTGGGATGTTGGTCCTCGGCTCAGCTTCCCATTTTCCATGTTAGGAGTTCTTCGTCGATGAGAAATAAAAGGCTTTACGGCTTCGGTGGAGTTGAGAGAAAAGCCAGATTTAGTATTTACCCCTGTCGTCCGTTTTCATCATGATGATGGTGAGGTAGACTATGGTCTGGTGGGCTTCAGATAGAGGCAATTCATGCTGTCTAATGTATTCTGGTCCTTTGTTGCGACCGATGTCCTGTTGCCGTTGACCTGTGATGCGATACAGTCAGTCTGTGAGATCTGCACGCCATCACTGGTCACCGGATAGGTCCAAGGTATTGTTGTACAAGGCCAGCGGCCATCTCATTTACATTCATCTTGTGTAGGGAGTCTACCTGATAGCCGCACCGTCTAAGCAGCATCGTTTCTTTCTTTTTTTTTTTTTTTATATAGTACAGATCCAGCATTGTACACGTCTGCCTCCCCGATTTCAGACCACGTTCGTTTCTCTATCCTCCTCACGTCATCATGCCTCCCGCTTACGCCTTGATGGGCTTCATGCCCTTGTGGATGGCCGCGACGCCACCGGTGAGGTTCTCGTAGCCGTCGCCGGCGACAACGAAGCCGGCGTCCTTGATCATGTCGCGGAACTCAGTCTGGCTGGGGAAGCGCTCGATGCTCTCGACGAGGTACTGGTAGCTGTCCCTGTCGCCGGCGACGAGGTGGCCGATGAGGGGGATGGCGCTGAAGGACCAGCGCTTGTAGACGGCGTTGAAGAGGGGGTAGTCGTCGGCCTTGGAGAACTCGAGGCAGGCGAAGACGCCGCCGGGCTTGAGGACGCGGTGGGCCTCGCGCAGGGCGGCGGGGATGTCTGTGAAGTTGCGGATGCCGAAGGCAACGGTGTAGAGGTCGACGGAGTTGTCGGGGACGGCGCCGTCGGGGAGCTTCTCGGCGTTGGCCTCGAGCCAGGAGAGGGCGGCCTGCTGGGAGGCCGGGAGGGACCTTGAGCGGTCGCGGCCGACGGCGAGCATGGAGGGGTTGATGTCGGAGATTGTGACGCGGACGTCGGGGTTGCGGTTGATGTTGTGCGCCGTGTGGAGCATGCGGAAGGCGATGTCGCCGGTGCCGCCTGCGATGTCGAGGATGTGTTGCGGGGTCGGGGGGTTGGTTGCTGAGAAGCCCGGCTGGAGGGAGTTGACGAAGTGGTCCCTTTGGGGGGCATGTGTGTTAGTCGTGGGAGAGAGGAAGAGGGAGGGGGAAGAGACGTACTTCCATACTCTGTGCCAGCCAAAGGACATGAGGTCGTTCATGCGATCGTAGGAGTCGGCGACGCTGTGGAAGACGCCGGCGACGCGGTCGGCCTTTTCGGACTCGGGGACGGTCTCGAAACCAAAGTGTGTCGTCTTGTTCGTGCCATTGGCGGAGGAGTCGGTGTTGATGGATCGGGAGGCGTATGGGAAGGGTCGGGAGAGCGATTGAGGGGAGGAGAACTGTTTAGAGAGTGCGCGCACGCTCAATGGCGTGCGGAGGGCTCGTCTGATCGCCATTGTGACTGAATGGCTATGGTCGTGAGGGAGCGCTGGTGGTCCTGGGTATCCGGGAAGTCAGTCGATCAAGAGCTCTCTCGATAGAAATTTTGGTGGAGCATTCGCAGTGGCTGGTGCGACGCTAGAATGGTGTCTCCTGGGTCTAGGACAGGGGGTCAAGCCACATCTCCTGGGGAATGGGACGATCACCTCGATGCTTCATGTGAATTTCGGCAAAACAAAAATGGACTCACCTTAGACAGTGGCAGTCGCGGTGACTGTAGTAGTCTCTTCGTTTTCAGTGCCCTCGCGCTCCTTGTTGTGGGCTCGATGCTGGGCGAGCAACTTGGCGAATGTGTGGACTTGGTGACGGGCGTAGTAAGCGATGACGCAGAGGAGCAGCGTGATGAAAATAACCAGAATGGCGATTCTTCCCGCCGGGCTTACCATTTTTATGTGTTTCGAAGGGGATACTGAGTAATGATGTGGTGTTTAGTCGTAAAAGGTGCTTGGCTGTGTGAGGTTGACGATGAGCTCAAGTTTTGGTGGAGGAGGGGATGAGTGCAGTTGCTCGGTACGCGGAGTTGTGCTGGTCGCGCGTTGCTCGGAAGGGTCTGATGTTTTTGTTTTCTCATTCTTGGAAATGAATGCCTTCCGAATACTTCTTTGTATTCCTCCTAGAGTTCTCACCTACACGCAACGGCCGTCGAGAGATGCCTCACTTACACCCCACTGTCAATCCGCATACACACTGATAACGGCAAGTGGGGTCCTCGATAAAGAGCTTCGTTGCAGGGGCTAATTTCTCTTGCCGCTCTAGGCATCAAAACCTCGAAATGTCGAGACTAGTCTCCTCAAAAAAGTGAGACAACTTCTGCATTTCTTTTGCCGGATTATGACAGAATATGCCATATGTTTCAAGACTATACTCAGCACACCTAATGAATTTGGAGGCTTTCGTTTGCATCACAAACAACTGCAGTAACTGACACAGCGGCAATAAGAGACCGCCTATTTTCCCTGTGCTAAAGCGACTACTTTTCCTGTGGCTATACTCTAATTACTCCACCACCGTCGATATCGTCGTCGTCGTCGTCGCTTCTATTGTTATCGTCGTTATAGTCGTCCTCGTCCTCGTCCTTGTCCTCCTCGTCGCTGTCGCTACTATCGCTTTCGATAGTAATAGTCAAGTGTACAGGAAATATAGCCGCGCAGACACAGGAAAATTAGGCGATCTCGGCAATAAAGCAGCGACGACACTTATTTAACCCCTGTTACTCTCTGCACTGTCCTTTAAACCTCTCTCGGCCCCCTCCGGCGTTGGTGGGTAACATCTTCACTGGTCACACCTACCGAATGCCTTCGACGTCAGATGGATCCGAGATGGGATGCACAATTCCCGCCCACTGTCTCTAAAGCCTGCAACAGATGCCACGCGCGAAAAGTGAAGGTTTGAGAAACCCCAGCGCCTCTACTAAAGCTAGTGAACCAAGCGATTGACTACTCAAAGTGTGACCTGAGAGTCCCCCAATGCTCGGCCTGCGAGAAACACAACGAGCAATGCAACATCACGGAGCGCGTTACTTATTCCTATGCTGCTGTGAAGAGTCTGCAAGATAAGATCAGGGATTTACAGGCTACAATCAATAGCCTCACCCAAGATGCGGAAACCCAGCCTGCCGAGGCCCCGGATGTCAGTCGTTTTGGCGACGTGCGCAAAGAGGCAGAAGAGATTGGCGTCTTGGCCATTGGGAGACCAAATAGCTACGCAGACAGGATATACAGTGAGTCGCTTCTGAGTTTTATTGACACTATTCGTATTGACTATAACCGCAGTGGGCAGTGCAACGGGTTCAACATTTGCCCGCATTTTCTTCAAACAAATCAATCTCGCACCACCCACGCCGAATACCCAGCTCTCATCCGCGTCTCTAGACCAGGACCTGTTCAGAAACAATGCCGCACTCCCGCCTCAGCCGATTGCGCGATTCCTTTTTGCTGCGTACATCCGTCGAGTTCACCTCTGGTGGCCATTCATCTCGCTTCCCTTTCTGAGAAGCACCATCGGCCACTTATACGAGGACCCAGCGAGATGCAGCCTCTACCAAAGGTTCCTGATCCTTATGGTTCTTGCCCTGGCATCTGCACACTCGGCTGGTAGCCCAGAATACCGGCGCATGCTAGACGTCAACAGCCCCGTTGACTATTTTCAAACTGGTCTGCGCTTCTTTCTCAACTTCCACGATCATTCCCGGGACCTCCAAGGCCTGCATTCGATACTTCTGCTGAGTCTGTGGATGATGGATTCGAATGTGAGAAGTCACGGAGATGACCTCTGGCATCTCAGTCGCTACGCCATGTCTGTTGCCATTGAGATGGGTCTTCATCGTCGGTCATCGTCCGCGGGCAGTTTGAGTACCGAAGACACGGAAATTCGTAACCGTACGTGGTGGTGCATATACAGCCTGGAGAGGCAAGTCGCGGTCATCACCGGTCGAGTCTTGTCTGTTCGCGAACACGCAATCGACGCGCCAAAACCGATGCTCAGCAGCTTGGATAATCTTTCGAGCTCAGAAGCACAGGCGGCACCTGTTGCTCACCGACTCAACGTCCAACTCTTCAACCATCTAGTTCGACTACGCCGAATCGGCGGCCGTGTGCTGGAGTCAGTCTATATCGCCAGAGGACCCGATGGCCGGGCGTCCAAGACCACATTTCAACAAATTTGTGATGAAATCGAGAAGATTCAACAAGAACTACAAAGCTGGAAGCGAGATATTGAAGGTCTGGACGTCAAGGGCACGCGGGAATACTCGGAGATGAAAGTCGAGTACGGCCTTCTTCTCTTGCTCATGTATCGGCCATCGCCCACCTTCATGATTCCATCACGGGAGATGGTCGAAATCTGCTCTCGAGCTGTATCTGGGACCGTACGCCAATGGTTGAAGCTAGAAACCCAGCATGGCATAGGTGCCGTTTGTCGGTGTTTCCGTCATGTGCATGGAGTTCTGATGGTAGGACTGGCTGGGCTTTATTGTGATTGGTAAGTCTCCTCAATGTCACCGATATTGTGCCGTCGTTGTTAACGATCTTTTCAGGCACACCAAGACTATGGCTCGAGATGCCGATGCACACGTGCTCCACGCCCATGGAAACGACGTGGCTGCATGCATCGATCTTATTGAACGCGGCATTGCTTGGATGAAAGAGGACTATCTCCTCAAGTACCGCGATCTTCTGCAAGCCACGAGACTCAAAGTATACGGGCCCTTGGCCTGGGAACCGACGAGCCCTCAAACACGTTTTACGGACTTGAGGCCGCCGGCTGGTACTGCTGACACCCTCGGCATATTCGAACCGGACGACATGCAATCTCAGCTCTTTTTCCAAGGGGAGGGATTGGAAACCTATGTCAACCAGGTCACGGGGTATTTCGACAGCAGCCAGGTCAACTTGGACGAGGGCCTGACGGCGTGGTATGGTTCGTTCCTGGACGAATTCCAACCAACCCAACCTGCCCAGCAGGAATGAGCTAGTGGAATTGCATCAGCGGCCCAAATGACTTTCGGATGAAATGACGATTCATAATATCAACCGGGCTTATCGGGTTTATTGACGGCGACGCTCCCCAGAGTCAGGAGTCGCGGTGGAGGCCGAGCAGAGCGGGGCCAAAGCCGGCCAAGTCCAGGCACTTTCTCGGTGTCGACCGAGCCCTTGTCGCCGTTTTTTGCAGCTTTGAACTTGCGAATCCGGGTAACTTCTGAGGATAAATGTGAACCAAGTCTTGTTATCAGTTGCGAGCCTCTCTAACTCAACTCGGACCTAGACGCCAAGACAGATTTCACAGAGCTTATCGAACTACATTGACAGTCACCCCGGACCATCGAAGACACCATGCCTGAGTCGGAATCGAAGAGCCAAGCGGCCAACAGCCACACCTCTGTTCTCAACCCCAAGAATGCAACCATTCTGGTAAGTTTGTCTCGTTGACAGAAAAATGTGGCAGTGCTAATGCTGTACAGGTCGGTATTCGCGATGGCGTCACCAATGACTTCCGCCTAGTCCCAAGAGACAAGGCGGTGGTATCAGTCTTTGACTCCAACTTCCTCATTGGCGATGGCATTTGGGTATATGATCATGGATACTTCACAACACATCCAAACTGATGATTTAACTCAGGAAGGAATCCGCGCGGTCAGGGGTCGTATCCAATTCGCCAAGGAACACATCAACCGCCTATTCCAATCCGCAAAAGCCATGTATATGGACCTAGGCCTGACAAAAGCCGACCTCCTATCTCTGCTGCACCGTACCATCGACGCAAACGACATGGGCGACGAGCCTCACGTCCACATCCGCCTCGTCGTCAGCCGCGGCCTCAAGTCCACTCCCTACCAGAACCCGCATGTCAACATCGGCCTGCCGCTTATCGTCATCATCCCCGAGATCAAGGCCGTCGACCCCGCGGCGAAGGAGCGTGGCCTGCGCCTCGGCACGACCTGGGTGCGTCGCGGCCCGCCCGACGTCAAGGACGAGCAGTGGAACCACATCTCTAAGGCCACGGACGTCCAGGCCTGTGTCAGTGCCAACGTGATGGGCGTCGACGAGGCGTTGATGCTGGACATGCAGGGCTTCGTCAAGACTTGCAACTCGGTCAACTTCTTCATCGTGCGAGGAGACGAGGTCTGGGCGCCGACGAAGGACAACCAGATGCAGGGCATCACCCGCCAAAAGACCATCGACGTCTGCCGCGCTGCGGGAATCACTGTCAGGGAGCTCGATTTTGCGCTCACCGAGGTTTATGGAGCTGATGAAGCGTTCTGCACGGGCACTTTCCCGTCACAGATCCATGTCACCGAGGTCGATGGACGGAAGATTGGGGATGGAAATAAGGGTCCTGTCACTGCGGCCATTCAGAAGTTGTACGCAGCAGAGGTGACGCGGGATGTCTCCAGGCCAAGGGAGGCTATTTTGGCCGACTTGGAGACACCTCGAGATCTTAGTGTCTTGAAGCGGTTGAAGTTGTGAATTTCTGTTCAGCTACGCTCAATGATCGATAATTTGATACCAAGATTACATACATATATGCACATATATATATATATATATATATATATATATATATATGGCATTTGAACACTCCTTGTGTCGTTTCCCAACTTTTACCTAGGGGCCGTTCATACCCAACGGATATCCCATAGACTAAGGGTGAAATTGGTTGGACTGAACGACTCATCCAATCGCATCCAAAAGTTTTGTTAGGTGACAGCATCAACCGAGCGTATGGGGGCCGACTTTGACTGAGATTCCCCAATAATCCGATCGGCATATTATTCCACATCATCCATGTCGCGGACAGTGGGCGCTGCTCCATGACTCGGATTCGGACTGGTCCGAGATATCTCTGTCAATCACCGAACGTCGTCTCGGTGGAGACCGATACTGATTGCGTGATCCCGTAGTGCGATTTCGTCAATCAGTGTTGAACGCGTTCTCCATATCGAAAACGACAACCTGGATTTCCATTACCCAAGATAATGGATGATGTGAGAAGGCGAGGTGAAATATCTGCGCATACCCTTTTGAATATCTTGGCCTTCATGGCGATTCCTCTCGTTTCCTGTTTTTGAGTCTTTTACCCGGCTTCATTCCTTATTTCGATTCGGCCAGTGGGTTCCGACGTTTTGTAAGAAAAGAGGTCATTTCGACTTACACGGCATCTCTGCATTTCCCGCATCTGACACCGTTGGAGACGACTTTTCAAGATGGACCCGAAACCGGTGGCCGACAGCAAGTTGACGGAGCCTGCAGTGCTCAAGGATTCTCACGATGAAGTGCCCTTCGACCAATCCGAGGCGCTGAAGCCGGCAGTGAACAGGCGGTTGCTGATGAAGACGGATCTCGTCGTCCTGCCCTGCCTCGTGATCAGCATGACGTTGGCCTTTCTCGACAAGGTAAGACGATGCCAATCGCCAAACCGAACGTAAATGCCAGCAGCTGACACCCGGCATTGAGATAGAACGCGCTCGGTTTTGCCGCAATCTTTGGCCTCAGGACCGACGCCAACCTCAAGGGTCAGGAGTACTCGTGGTTGGGCAGCATCTTCTACTTTGGATACCTGGCCATGGAGCTGCCCAGCCTGTGGCTCATCACCAAGGTGCCCATTGGGAAGTACATCAGCGCTTGCCTCATTCTCTGGGGCGCCGCCATCTGCCTGATGGCGGCTTGCCACAACTTTGCCGGGCTGGCGACCATCCGCGTGCTTCTCGGAATCTTCGAGGCGGCCCTGCTGCCGTGCATGTTGGTGCTGAACTCAACTTGGTACCGCCGCGAGGAGCAACCGCTTCGGACGGCGCTGTGGCACAACACATTTGCTGGTGTCTTTGGCGGTATCTTGTCGTATGCTATCGGCAACATCAAGGGGTCGTTGTCTACATGGAAGGTGGGTGCTGTTCACGGACTGGAAATTGAATGCTGCTAATTTGATATTAGTACATCTTCATCATCTACGGAGCCGTCACCATCTTCACCGGCTTCATCATCTTCTTTGCCCTGCCGGATTCCCCTGCCAAAGCCTGGTTCTTCACTGAAGAGGAGAAAAAAGCAGTCATCATCCGTCTGGCGGAGAACCAGACGGGTGTCGACAACCACAAGGTAGGTGACATGGGAATTTCCTTGTCTGAACGAGAGAGGAAGCATTGCTAACGAGAAGGCTCCAGAAATTCGACAGGAAACAAATCATCGAAGCCCTGAAGGACCCAAAGTGCTGGTGCGTCTGGGCCTGCGGCATCGGCTACGCCATCGCCAACGCGGGCATCACCAACTTCAACCCGCTCATCATCGCGGGGTACGGCTTCAGCCAGACCAAGACGGTGCTCATGGCGACGCCGCAAGCCGCCGTCGCCATGGTGGCCGGCGCCGTCCTGACCGCCATCTCGCACTTTGTGCAGAACCTGCGGTGCTTCTTCTGGATCATCTCCGCCCTCATCGGTCTCGCTGGCGCCGTGATGGTGCATACCCTCGATGTGACTTCTGCGCGCAACGCATCGCTAGGTACGGAAACGGATGCCGCCACCCTTTTTTTATGGTATAGGAGAACGAGACTAATGAGAACCCAGCGGGCGTGTACATCATGGGATTCTACAACGTTCCGTGGGTGTTTATGCTGAGTCTCAACTCGTCAAACACCGCGGGCGCGACGAAGAAGAGTTTCATGGGTGTCTCTGTCGCCGTGTGCTATGGTGAGTCGTATAAAACCCTGTCGGGGCGTTTAAGAATGAAGACTGATAGACCTTGTGTCGTAGCCATCGGAAACATCATCGGTCCGCAGCTCTTCCTCTCCAGCCAGGCCCCGAGATACCCCCTGGGCATCGGCGCGATGATGTTCGCGTTTGCCCTCATGGCCGTGTCGGGCGTGGCATACTACGTCTTGTGTGTTTTTGAGAACAAGCGCCGCGACGCACAGTATGGTATTCCGGAAGACAAGGTCCAGGCTGGCCTCGAATCTGAGAGACAGGATAAGACGGACTGGGAGAATAAGGGATTCCGTTACACCTACTAGATACCCTTAATATATCGAGGCAAACGTTTGCTTTCTGGTCAACGCTATTAATCATCCATATTGTGGCTAAGAAGCAAATGTGAAGGATGCATCGCAATGTCAGTGCAAATACTCTCACGATCCATGCTCATCGGATATTCGGTCTGCGGCCTTCACCGAAGAACCGTTACGGTGCCGCATCCGTACCGCCAGCGCAGCAAGACATGGACTCACCGCAATTAAAAACGGTAAACAGCCTCATTTATGCGACGGGCTGTCAGTTTGATCCTCAAACAGTAGAAAAAGTTGAGCTCAAAAGCGCCCCCCAGACAGGTGTATCCAGCACGGGGGAAAACATAACTTTAATATCAGCGCCCAAATTACGATGCATCTCGCAATCACCTCCCCTGTCCAAGGTTCGTTCGGTTCCTTATCGGCTCCTGCCACACGCGGGGCGCGGGGTGGGTTGCGGCATGGGACGGGTGGACAGGGCCGGGGGATGACGCTGCGGATAAGGAGATAAACGAAGGACAGCAGCTCGGCTCGCTTTCCTTCGGCTCAGCCATGACGTCGCAGCGCCGGCCGACGATAGACGACTCCCGCCGTCGTGAACAAGCCGCTGCTGCTAGATGTCTCGGCTTCCCGCTCCTTCGATCCCTCTTTGTTATCGTGGGATTGAGTGTCCAATTCTCCTGCTGCCAGTCTATTGAGAGTGCCGTGTGTCTGTTCAATCGCAGAGATGAGGTCTTGCAAGATGCTTCGCAGTGCACCCCTGCGCGGGGTCCTTCCACGAGCCTCCCCGGCGACCGCGACGATGCCCTTCGCAGCAACCCCGAGCCGAGCTGCGAGCAGCCTCTCCCAGCGGCCCAACGCGAACCACGTCTCCTTCCCGGGTGCCGTCAAGAGCGCCTTCACGAGCACGCTCAAGTTCGAGACGCCCGGCGAGTACCCGGCCGTGCCAACCTACCGCGTCGTCGATCAGAACGGCGCCATCGTGGACGACTCGTTCACGCCGGACCTCGGCGAGGAGGAGGTCGTGAAGCTTTACAAGGACATGGTCTTCATCTCGGTCATGGACCTCATCATGTTCGACGCGCAGCGCCAGGGCCGGCTGAGCTTCTACATGGTCTCGGCGGGCGAGGAGGCGCTGAGCGTCGGCTCGGCCAGCGTGCTCACGCCTGAGGACGTCATCTTCTGCCAGTACCGCGAGCAGGGCGTCTTCAAGCAGCGCGGCTTCACGACGGCGGACTTTATGAACCAGCTGTTCGCCAACTCAAAGGACCCCGGAAGAGGGAGGAACATGCCGGTGCACTACGGTAGCAAGGAGCTAAATATTGTGGGTGCCTCTCCATTCCCCCTGACTGCCTCGCCGTGACTAACCATTTGATCAACAGCACACGATTTCGTCCCCGTTGGCGACGCAGCTGCCGCAGGCGTCGGGGGCGGCGTATGCATTGAAGATGCAAAGGATGCAGGACCAATCGGTACCTCCGAGAGTAGTCGCGGCTTACTTTGGCGAGGGCGCCGCGAGTGAGGGCGACTTCCACGCCGCCCTCAACATCGCCGCCACGCGGTCGTGTCCCGTCATCTTCATCTGCAGGAACAACGGCTACGCCATCTCAACGCCGACACTGGAGCAGTACCGGGGAGACGGCATCGCCAGCAGAGGTCTGGGATACGGCATCGACACCATCCGGGTGGATGGCAACGACATTTGGGCCGTACGGGAGGCCACCAAGAAGGCGCGTGAGATGGCGCTAGAGAACGGGGGCAGGCCCGTCCTCATCGAGGCCATGACTTACCGCGTGAGCCATCACAGCACGTCGGACGACTCATTCGCCTACCGTGCCAGGGTCGAGGTGGAAGACTGGAAGCGGAGGGACAACCCGATCACGCGGTTGCGCAAGTGGATGGAGGCCAAGGGCATGTGGGATGAAAACAAGGAAAAGGAGTGCCGCGACTCCACGAGACGGGAGGTCTTGAAGGCATTCAAGGAGGCTGAGAACGAAAAGAAGCCGCCCATTCGGGGCATGTTTGAAGATGTTTACGAAGAGCTGACGCCGGACTTGAAGCAACAGATGACGCAGCTGCGGGAACACCTCGACAAGTACCCTGACGAATATGATTTTAATGAGTTTGAGGGCGGCAAGGACAGTCTGAAGGCGTAGACAGAGGTGTGCTACTCACGCGATATCTTGGTGTATGACAAGAATTACACAGACGGAGTTCTCGGCGCCGCAGACATGTAGGGCTTTCAATGAATAAGCGAATAGATGCCAAAAACGGTGACCGAGCTTCAGTGAGCCTTTTTCTTGGTGTCCATGTTGCTTAGAAATGACCAAAATCGACAGCCCCATCCACATAAAGTCCCTTGATGGCGCAACAGGAGTCGCAGATTCCGTCTATCCACTCTGCTTGAATCAGCTCCGTCAGAATCTGGGGCCCTAAGCGCAGGATGTGGAGGTGCAAACGGAGACAGGGTTCCGTAATGACATGGCGCTATGCGGTGCGCTAGCGGAGCGATAGGCATGTTTGCACTGCTTTCCGGGCCTGCCAACCACTGCCAACCTCCTGTCACCGGGATCAAGCTGCCAATCTCAGCACTGTTGCTGCATCGTCAGGATGTACGGTCGGACGCTGGGAGGGCGCTGGCAGCAGTGGCTTTGGGTTCCTGGGGCGGGCGCCCAGCGTGGTGGCACGTCCCTGATTGACACCCTTGGACGGACCCAAACGGTGGGCGTGGCAATGGGAGACGGTATCATGACATAAGGGCGGCTGGCGTGGTTGAGCCAAGGCGCTTTGCTGCAGGGATCCCCCTCCGACTGTTGAGTTGGTGGTCCCGCACGCCCAGTGGCTGCTACCTCTGAGCCGTTCTCGCAGGAGCAGCAAAGAATGGGTGGCACGAGGAGGAATATCAGAGCCGCTTGGTACGTGTTGAAGCCTGAGAAGGGATTGTGTGTCTACCGGCCAGTGCCTTCTTAGCGGTGGTGCGCGTGATTGATAGAGAAAAAGGCGTCCCTACCGTTAGGTATCCGGCGAGTGTGTGTGTGTGTGCCAAGGTGTGTGTGAGAGAGTGTCGGTGTCGGCCATCAGTCATTTCAGTGCGAGCTGTGTCCGCATGGTCCAGGTCCAGGTTCAGCCAGTTCCATCCGGGGCCAGTCACCTTTCCTCCATGCTTGCTTCCAGTCCTGCATAACTTCAAGCCATAACTGCAAACTCCCCATTTGCAGTATCGACTTTTTTTCGACGACGCCGACGACAACGACGACCAAGACGATAGCGACGTCCCCTGGTAGCGACCGCCGAATGCCCCTCGACTGTCGATGATTCCCCACGACCGAAAGATAGCTCGTTCGATCAGTTGATTTGGTCGGCCGACAGCTCTCCCTCTCTCCCCTCCCCTCACTCTACTCTCTCCAACGCCCTTGCTCCGCTGGCCGTCTCCGAACGACGGGGCGATCACGTTCGAACGCACACCCATCTCATAGCATCGATATACCGCCGTCCCAATCGCCAGCACTGCTCCAAGCTGCCCTGCCTCATGGCGTAATCCATGGCAGAACGAATCGCCGCTGCAAATCCGCGCTCCAGATTGGTAGTCGACCACGATCCCCCCGCGCGCCTCCCGTCAACGCCGACGATATCGTCCTCAGGATCGGGCTCTCCCGCCTTAGCCTCGACTTCGCCTTCCCAAAGGTAGGTCACTTCTTTTCCCCTGCTCCGGGTTGTTTGTTTCGATCCCCTTACACTGCTTTGTGCATCGCGAGAAGTCGAAGAGAGGAAGATATCGGAGAGTGAAGAAGGCAAGAGAACACAAAAGAGGAAAGAGGCATCGAGTAGCAGCCAGCAGAGGCAGAAGCAGAAGCAGCAGCCCTGCTCTGCTGCTCAAAAGCAGGAGGAGCGTTCAAAGTTGTGTCGCGGGGGCAGTCACCACCAGTCACCGGTCACCGGTCACCGGTCATATCGGGGCTTCCCTCCTGTCTGCCTGCCTGCTTGTCTGCCTCTACACCACCTGCCCTCGCTGTTCACCTTCTCATTTGCTTTATTTTGATCCTCAAAACCAAATCACCCGGTCTCTGCCTCAGGACTACCCTGGTGTACCTACCTGGGTTCCCGGCTGGCCTGCTTAGAAAGCTACCTGCCTCCAGCCTGGTACCCGACCTGTTGGATCTCCAACTTAAGCGGGCCTGGTCTGTCTACTTGTCTACCTACCTTGCCTTTCGGTACATTCAGGCACCACACTGCACCGCACCTTGTCTACCTACCCTCAAGGGCCAGGGAAAAAAAAAAGAGGCCTTATTTCCCAACATTGAAACAACGCCTGCATCGCGCCGTCTACCATCCGCGACGCCGCTTTTCTGGTTCTCTGCCCGACACATCTCTCTTCGTCTCCTCCTTCGTTCCTTCCGCCTATCTTCTCTCCTTGGGTCATTTCTAGATCGATGCCACCGACCCCTCCTCGTCTCCCCTGGTCCATCAAATCCACCAGACCTTACACTGTACACCAGCATCCACCCTGCACCCACACTATTCCGACCCTGGCTGGAGACACAGATGGCTGGCGGCATTCTGGACTGCCAACCGACCCTTCTCTGATCTGACTTGATTCTCGTTTTTTTCTTTCGTTACTGTCGGCCATGCCTCGCAAAAACCAGTCACTCATGTCTCCTAGAATAACTAGATCATCTGCTCGACAAGCGGCAAATATCGCAGCTTCATCGACACAATCCGCTACAGGCGCCGATCCCGCCGCGAACGCCCCTGCAACCGCGAGCTCCAGTCCTCAAAACCCTACCGCCTCTGCGTCACGGAAACGAAAGGCTCCAGCTCAACCACCCAGCCCTACTCCGGGAACGCAGCAATCCTCGACCGCCTCGACCAGAAGATCGAAGCGTCAGAAAGTTGCTGAGCCTCCTCCGCCACCTCAACTTTCTACACAAACACCTGCTCCTCCTCGTTCCAAGAGGAAAGACAAAGCAACCGCAGCCATGTCGAGCCCAGAGTAAGTCCCACGTGCTCAATTCATCTCGGAAACATCACCCTGACAGTGTCCAACAGCACCCCTTCGGGCCCAGCGAACACATCAGAGAACACCGTTCCGTCAGGGTCCTCGAGCCGCAAATCGAGCAGAAGCAAGAGAACCGCCCCGAGTGCAACAGGTACATCAAGCTCAAACAACCGTTGGCTCGTGGACTGTAGTACTGACTCGAGCCATTCAGATCCGTCTGCCAACACATCAGGCTCTTCTCGTCGGACAAAACGAAACGCTACGAACAACGCCGATCAAGATACTGCGATGACGGGCACAGACGAGGCAGAGAAGGAAGGAATCCCCCCTCCACCGCCACCACCCCCCGAACATAACGACGACGATGAAGATAGTGACGACAATGACGACGACGATGATGCTCGGAGGTACGACGACGACGATGATGCTCGGAGGTACGACGACGACGATGATGACGACGACGATGATCCGTTCGGCGGTTTTGGAGGACCCGGAGGTCCAGGAGGACTGTCCAGCACCTTGCGAGCACTCACAGGCATGATGTCGGGCTTATCCTCCCGACTGCGCGAGCTGTTGAGCAGCCTGCGTCAAAAGGATGACCCCTCGATGCAGCTGATCGCCCTACAAGAACTCTCCGAGATTCTCCTGGTTTCGAACGAGGACAATCTGTCCGGCCACTTTTCGCCAGATTCATTCGTCAAGGAGCTCGTCATACTGATGCAGCCTAATGAAATCACTGGGGAGGAAAACCCCGAGATTATGCTCCTGGCCTGCCGCTGCCTGGCCAACTTGATGGAGGCTCTGCCCGCAAGCGTCGCTAACGTTGTTTACGGAGGTGCGGTACCTGTCCTCTGTCAGAAGCTGCTGGAGATATCCTTCATTGATCTCGCCGAGCAAGCCCTGAGCACCTTGGAGAAGATTTCGGCCGAGTACCCCTCCAGCATTGTTCGCGAGGGCGGTCTGACGGCCTGCCTGTCGTATCTGGATTTCTTCGCGACAAGCACCCAGAGAACAGCTGTGACTACAGCCGCAAACTGCTGCCGAAACATACCCGAAGACTCGTTCCCCGTCATTAGGGACGTAATGCCGACTCTTCTCAACGTTCTCAGTAGCAGTGATCAGCGTGTGGTGGAGCAGGCGTCTATCTGTGTCTCTGGAATCGTCGAGAGCTTCAAATATCAGTCCACGAAGCTCGAGGAGCTGGTCAGCGTGGACCTTTTGAAGGCTGTTCTTCGGCTACTTGTACCAGGCACCACCAACCTCATTGGGCCTAACATCCACACTCAGTTCCTCCGAGTACTCGCCTTTACAGCTCGTGCCAGCCCTCAGTTGTCAGCAGAGCTTTTCAAGCTCAACATTGTCGAGACCCTCTACCAAATTCTCACGGGCGTATCTCCGCCCAGCGGGACCGAGGACGTTGCCTCAAAGCTCGACAGCGTTGTCATCATGCAGGCGTTGATCCACCGGCCAAGAGAGCAAATCATCGAGACACTGAACGTCATCTGCGAACTCCTTCCCAGCCTTCCTCGCAACGCCGATCCCGCTTACGGTGACTTTGTTGATATGAATATCACGGAGCCTATTACGCCATCCTCGACCGCTACTGGCAAAGCACGCAAGTCGCCCAACGACAAGCGCATTGAGTTGCTGAATGGCTGCAAAGCGGAGGTCCGCCGCTTCGCTCTCATCTTGTTCCCGACGCTGACAGACGCCTTCTCGAGCACGGTGAACTTGAACGTCCGTCAAAAGGTACTCACTGCACAGCTGAAGATGCTTTCCAACCTCGACGAGGGCATTTTGGGAGAATCTCTGAAAACTGTTCCCTACGCCTCCTTCCTTGCGTCGATTCTGTCTCAGCAGGATCATCCAACCCTGGTCATGCTGGCGTTGCAAGCTACAGAGCTTCTCCTCAGTCGCCTGGACGATGTTTACCGATACCAGCTTTACCGCGAAGGCGTTATTTCTGAAATCACCAAGCTCGCTGCAGAGGAGCAAACGCCCCCTCCTGCAGAGGCAAGCGCGTCACAGGAGACCAACAACACGGACGGACAAGCATCAGCAGAATCTGGAGACCACTCATCAGATAATGATGAATCTGAAGACGAAGAGGAGCACGAGGAGTCTGACGATGGTGAAAATGAAGAGGACAATGAGAACGAAGCTCATCCAGACGACATCTCTGGGTCTCCGGTCAGCTCTCGGGGGTCTACCATGTCACTCGACGGACCACCTCAACACTTCTTGTCATCAGACGGACAGTCTATGCGAACCAGAATCCGCGATGTTGCTAAGAAGTTCCTGGAAAACCATGAGACCGAGAAGCATGGTAAGACCATGAAGAAGAGGGCCGCCAAGATCCTCTCCAACCTCTCTGATCTGGCCGAGGAGATTGAAGCATTCTACGTCCACAGGACAGCAAGCAACCTTGCACCAGAGAAGGGTACCGAGCTGTTCAAGAGACTAGCTTCGTCATTCGACGCGGATGTGCTGGAAAGCGTCACGAGCGCGGAACTGCTGGCATCTGGTCTTGTCCGAGTTCTTCTCGATGTTTTCAGCAACCCGGACGAGGAGCTGGCCCGAGCGGCACAGTCAACCTTCTTGCAGGTTTTCATGGGATATTCGGTCAAGTCCAAGCCCAAGACAGCGACGGCCGACTCGCCTGCGACCCCTTTCAGTGTTATGGTCCACAAACTCCAGGATCTGCTCAGTAGGTCTGAGCACTTCGAAGTCATCACAGTCCATCAAAACACCTTTGACGGCAACCGAAGCAGTGCAGCGTCGATGCTCGCAAAGCAGATCCGGCTCAGACTTGTGGCAGACGATGAGTCAGAGATTCCCCGTTCTTACCGTAACATCATGGTATCAATCCACGCCATTGCGACATTCAAGTCCCTGGATGACTATTTGCGACCTAGGATCAGCTTGTCGGAAAGGCCGCGAGGCTCTAGAAGAGCCGACAACCTCTCTAGAGCCCTTGCTTCACTCGCAGGCTCGGCTGGGCTCCCGTTGAGCCACGCCGCAGCAAGACTTGCTGAGCGTGCATCGGCTGCGTCCGCATCAAGCCCCGTACCGCCGCCGCCCAGCGTTCCCACACCTGGTGGCTCGCGATCCCTCCGCAAGACCAAGTCCAAGTCGACGCCGCAGTCAGATACAGCAGCAACGCCCGACACCTCGTCAAGCACTAGAGAGAAGGCCGTGCTCCGCAGATCGACACGCCGTAGTGCCGTAGCTTCGTCAGACAGCCCGGCACCCTCCAGACCCCCTCCGGAAGAGGACGACGACTTGCAGAACGCTCTTGAATGCGCAGACGAGAAGCAATTGTCCGACGACGAAGAGATTGGCGGCAGCAGTGCCCTCGACGCCATTGTCGGAGATTTGGATGAGGATATGGGCGAGTCGCCCGGCCCTGAGCCAGGTGCTGTCAACATGGAGGTCGCAGCTGGCGGTAAGGTGACTGCACGCAAAGATGACGGCACACGAGTTCCAACGCCATCCCAAAGCTCTCTTCCGACCCGCACTGGCGGACTGCCAGCCCCAGCGACTCACGAGACGCCCACGCCCACGCCCTCAGCCTCTTCTCGGGCCTTGTCATACGCTGCAGCCATCCAATCTGTGCCTCAAGATTGGCACATCGAGTTCACCCTTGATGGTAAGGTGATCCCGAGCGAAACCACAATCTACCGCGCAGTTCACACATCGGCTCTGAATTCGGATGAGCACTTCAGCCGCAGTGTCTGGTCTGCCGTTCATCCCATCAAATTCAGACGCGCTCCTGGCCCGCCACCCGCAGAGACTTTGTCTTTCAGCCCCAACACCGAGGCCAACGCCGAAGAAAATGGAGATGGAAATGTGCCCGCGTCACTGGCGAAGCACCCGTCTACTGCCTCTATCCTTCGTCTGCTCAACATCCTTCACGACTTGAACGCAAACATTGAAGACGTCATGGTTGAAGACAGCGAAAAGGATGCAGTTCGACTGAACATCGAGCCCCTGTCTCAATTTGTGAACACCAAGCTCACTGCGAAGTTGAACAGACAGCTGGAAGAGCCCCTCATCGTGGCAAGCAACTGCATCCCCAGTTGGGTAGAGGATCTGGCCAGACTGTACCCCTTCCTGTTTCCCTTCGAGACGAGACACCTGTTCTTGCAATCGACGTCGTTCGGGTATGCCCGGTCAATGACTCGCTGGCAGAACGCTTCCGCCAATGACGACGCCAGACGCGACCGTCGCGATCACGACCGTCCATTCCTGGGTCGCCTCCAGCGCCAGAAGGTGCGAATCTCGCGGTCAAAGATCCTGGAGTCTGCCCTGAAGGTGATGGAACTCTATGGTGCTTCACAGAGCATCCTTGAGGTCGAGTACTTTGAGGAAGTTGGCACCGGACTGGGTCCCACCCTTGAATTTTACTCCACCGTTTCCAAGGAGTTCGCCAAGAAGAAACTCAAGCTTTGGCGAGAGATGGACTCGAACGATTCAGAAGAGTACATCTCTGGGGCCAGTGGACTCTTCCCTCGACCGCTTAGCGATGAGGATTCGACTTCTCCCAACGGAGAGCGCATTCTTCAGCTGTTCAAGACGCTCGGCAAGTTTGTTGCTCGGTCCATGATTGACTCTCGCATCATCGACCTGAACTTCAATCCTACCTTTTTCCGCATTGGTGATAGCTCTGCCGCCCCTGGAGTCAAGCCTTCCCTCGGTGCTGTCAAGGTTGTCGACCCTGGCCTGGCTAGGTCTTTGAAGACCATTAAGAAGTTCGCCTTGGCCAAGAAGGAGATTGACGAGGACCCTTCGCGCACTCCGGCGCAAAAGGTTGCCGACACCGAAGACATCACCATCGACGGCGTCAAGCTGGATGATCTCTGCTTGGATTTCACCCTTCCGGGATACCCCGAGATCGAGCTCATGCACAATGGCGCCCAAGTCCGAGTCACCATCGATAACGTGGATTCGTACCTGGAGCGTGTCATTGACATGACTCTGGGCACTGGCGTTCGCCGTCAAGTCGATGCTTTCCGCACCGGCTTCTCTCAGGTGTTCCCTTACTCGGCGTTGAGCGCCTTCACCCCCGACGAGCTCGTCACGTTGTTTGGCAGAGTCGAAGAAGACTGGTCCCTTGAGAGTAAGATTACCTCCTCATTTTTTATTTGAGCTAGCACTGACATCCTCTTTAGCACTTATGGATTCGATCAAGGCGGACCACGGATACAACATGGACAGCAATAGCGTCAAGAACCTGCTCCAGACTATGAGCGAGCTGACGCCTGCGGAGCGCCGTGACTTCTTGCAATTTACAACCGGCAGCCCCAAGCTCCCCATTGGAGGTATGTTGTCCCGCAGACTTGGCTCGAATAAGGCTAACTTCATTTCAGGCTTCAAGAGTTTGACGCCCATGTTCACGGTCGTCTGCAAGCCTAGCGAGGCTCCTTACACTTCTGACGACTACCTCCCTAGCGTTATGACGTGTGTGAACTACCTCAAGCTCCCTGACTACACCAGCATCAACGTCATGCGGAAGCAACTGTCTACGGCGATCAAGGAAGGCCAAGGGGCATTCCATCTTTCATAGACGGTGTATCCTTCACCCGATACGAAAAAGCGGAACATATGAAAAAAGAAGAGAAATGAAGAGAAAGGGTTGGCGATGTGCCCACCGCAGTGAGAGTGCCCCCAACACACACTATGCGCCAACCAGGGCAGCGCTTCTACAGATCAGGGAGACACACGGCGTCTCCTTTGTGTCTGATGACAGTATTCCTTTAACAATAAAGACTTTATGGATGGTAACGGCCTGGCAAGGTACAGGGAAGGCGGATTGAAGGGCGAGGGAATATGGATGAAATCCCGCCCAGCTTTGCATGACAGGGTTGTTTAGGCGTCAGAGCTTGATTTCAATTTGCCTCCACGCTCTGGCCTCGAGGCATTTCTTTCCTGCATTGTTTTGGCACTGTCTCTTGGGTCAACCACCAGTCCCAGATGAAGCGTCACGCAAAGTGCAAATAGGGTTCTTTTCCGTAATTAGAATGTTGTTTGTTTTGTGGAATCATCAAGGATCGTTAGATTTGTGAAGGTTGTGTCGTATTGGACACGCCACATGCAGTGCAAAAGTCATGGGTGAACGAACTCACACGTTGCCACCGATTCCATCACAAAGGCTTGCGCGGATTATGAAATGCACCAATAAAACAAGTTTCATTTCATGACAGGATCTTATCCCTATTTTGCGCAAGAAAAAGTGTTTTACCAGAACCTCAATCCCGCCGCCCTCCTCGCCCTATAGAAACACACACACAACACGAAAGACATCCCTTCCCCCTTCCCTACGTTCTCCTCCATCCAGTAACCAACCCGGAAGCCAGGGATGTGCGAGCTACGCGGATGGGAGACAGTTTGTCGCCGCCATACTTGGAAAACACGCAAAATTGGTAGGGGTAATCCGTCAAAATACACTTAAAACAAACATCTCTGGTTGGGCGGCGGCTTGCTGCTATGCTAACGTCTTTTGTGTGAAGGGATATTAAAACGGCTTCGTTGCCTAGCGGAAGCCGGCCTTGACCTCGACGCGCGGCCACTCGAAAATGACGTCTCCTCCGTAGACGTCCGAAGTGATGCGGCTGATGCGCAGCTCCACCTCGCCGTAGAAGCGCTCGCATTCGCGGAGCACCTTGTTCACCAGCTTCTGGCTGAGAGCAGGGTCGTCCGCGTCGCCAAAATGCTTGTCTACGCGCTTGCGGAGCGTCTCGATGCCCTTGCGGACCTCTCGCCCGTCATATGTGGAAAGCACCTTGTTAAAGGTAGATTTGGAGTTGGAGGGCTGCGCAGCAATGCTTGAGCCGGCCTTGCCTGACGACAGCTGGCCCTCAATGTTCTCAATATACTCGAGGAGCTTGCCGAGCGGACGGCGCATAACCGCGTTCAGATACAGGCCCATGTGTTCGTTGAGCTCGTTAGAGGCGGCTTCGCGCCAGTCCTCGAGCACCTCCAGGCCATGCGTGTTGACTTCCTCGAGGAAGTGGTTCATGTTCTCGATGAGCAGGATATGGAAGTTGAGCGCCTCCTTGTCTTCAGGGTCGGCGCCCGCAGCTCCAACGCTGACTGCTGGATTCTCACGGGCAATGATCTTGAGCGAGTCGAACATTGACTTGAGAATGCGGTCGTATTCGCGGTCGACCGTCTTGCGCACCGAGAGATTCGGGTCGATGCCCGAGAGGATGTTCTCAACCGCGTTGGAGAAGTGGGGAAACACGCGGATGAAGGAAATGACGCCCTTGCGCTTGTTGATCTTGACCTTTGTATCTTCGATGGCCTTGATCTGTTCGTCCACGAACTTCTTGAACTGTCCCTCAAGCGCGCCGTGCAGCTTTTGCAACAGGGCGTTGAGGAAGTCCTGGTTGGACTGCTGAATGTCGACGAGGCTGCGCTCAAGGACAGCCAGCACACCAGCACCTTGTCTGCGAGGCTGTTAGCGTACGTTCTTTTGATATGAGTTGCGTAACTTACAAGGGATCGGCTTGGAGAACCCAGGTGACTAGGTTTCCGACTTCGCGCTCCAGGAAGGAGAATATTACTTCCATCGCCTTGGTGACTCTGCGAGCAAGATCACGGTCGGGTTCCATCAGGCGATGGCGCCGCAGGTCGCCTCCTCTGCGATCCCCGGGCCGGGTGGCGGTGACGAGGTCGGGGAAATCGGACTGCTCCATGGTGGTGGCGTGGAAAAAGTCGACGATGAAGTTCTGCTCCATCTCAACCAGAGGAAGAAGGTCGTCCATAACGGAGCCAAACACCTCATAAGGAAGGCTACGGCTTTCTGCCGATTCCTTCAGGTTGGATCTGCTGCTGCTGTCGATGGGCGAGCGCAAACTCTTGGCCAAAGTCTGACTGCGCTTGACTGTAAGCTTCCTGACGGTGGTCGCCCTGCCTTCCTGTTGCTTTTCGACCTCGTACGTAAACAGGAGCTGCTCAGTCTCATCGGCAGTCATCTTGCGCGCGTTGCGCTTCCATGCCTCCAGAACTTGCCGGAATTCGTTCTTGTACACCGGGAAGCTCTTGTCCTGATAGACCTGGATCATGCGGTCCCAGTTCTTCGGGTCGACGTCCTTGGCATATTTGATAAGAGGGCTGTACTTCCAAAGCGTATCTCGGCCTGCATCGTGGTGGCGCGAGTCCACCTTTCTTGACAGAGCTTCACTGAGCGCCCTGTTGGTCTCGTTGTAAGCGTCATCAAACTGTCGTGCCATGTACTCGACGAGTCGTCTGAGGAAGAGCGAGCTTTCTTGTCGGTACATCTCCTTCTTTTCTTGCACGATTCTCATCTTGCCGTAGTCAGTATTGTCGAGACCAACAGCTTGGTCGCTTTCGACAGAGGTGTCTTCGCTCTTTCTGGGCTCGCCACCGCTAAGCAGTGAGGGATCGATCTTGAGCATGGCCTTATACAAGGTCACCAGCGACATCTCAATGTCTTCGAGACCGCCCAGATCTTCCAAGGGCGCGGCTCTCAAAGCATTGAGATCGGCCGATGTGATGGTGGTCGTTTCCAAGAGGGATTCAAGCTCCTTCTTCAACAGCTTCTGATTGGAAGTCTGGACTTGCAGACCTTGCCCTTGAGCCTCGATGTACGCAATGTCGTCCGAAAGAGTCTGTGATGTTAGCATTGCGAAGTGGCCTCAATGGAAGATTGACCGCTTACCGAAAGCTCGACACTGTAAAGCGTCAATAGATTCTCCATTTCCTCACACTCGGAAATTGCAGTGTCAATACCGCGCTTGATTGCTTCAACGCGGTCATCCTCTTCCTGGAAACGTGCGACCCAACCGCCCGCTTGGGCCTTGTTCAGTTCTCTCTCTAGATCCATCTTCATTTCATCAACATTACGAGTTCTCATCTTGTCACCAGGCACCCAGCCAAAGTAGTCGAGCCATTTTGTAAACTCTGTGCTCCTGTTGTCGAGGACCGACGGATCAACACCGAGGGATGCCAGGTATTTGGCATCATTGCCGATCACCAAGGACTTGCGGGCCTCTTCCTTTGATGCAGGTTCCTCGGGCTTCTTGACCTCCTTGACTGAAGGTTGCAAGCTAGTCGGGCGACTAGAATTGGGTACTGTAACCTTGACTTCCGGCACGCCCGACGTCCGCTTGGCGGGCTCTGCTGGAGCAGCGGGGGCGGCGTCCGGGGTGGCCTCCGGCGTTGCCTCCTTGGGTCCATCAGAAGAGACAGGTCGAGGCGGAGGCCGAAAGACGGTTGTGATTCCTTCTGCTGGCTCAGCGCTCTTGTTTGCTGCCAAGCGTAGTCTCTCGCCCGCGCCACCGGCTCTTGGCTTGAACGCAGCGGCGGCAGAAGCGGCTTTCCAAAGTACACCAGCAAGATCGCCCTTTGATTTCTTCGCCTTGATCATCGGGCCAAGGCCGGGCCTCGTCTCTTCCTCAGGCTCAGGCGGAACAGGGGGAGTTGGCTGAGGCTCAGCTGGCGGGACCGGGGGCTCCTCGATCAACGGCTCCGGCTCGGGTAGGGGAGCGGGGGCTGCGGGAGGCGGTGTTGGTGCGATCGGGGAGACAGGTGCGGGAGGAACGGGAATTTCAGGCGGCGGCGATACCATCGGGGGAGGCTGTCTGGTCGGGGTCATTCCATTCCGCGTGGGAGTTCTGAGCGCCGGCGGCGCATCCGGTATTCCTGCGTCTCCGGGGGTCAGAGGAGTGACCGGCCTGTCTTTGTACGAACCGCCGTCGGAGCGTTGCGACAGGGAATTTTTCCTGGCTGTACTCCTGGGTGGAGGGGCCACCTGATCTCGTCGCATTCCTGGGCTCACCAAGGGCGCAGGCACCAGGTCCCGGTCGGAGAAGCCTTGTGGCCGCGCCGGATCCATGGGAGGTCTCTTGCGTTCGGGGGGAGGATCACGGCTCTGGTTGCCTCGACTTTCTGGGCGCTGGGGCGGGGGTATAGGAATCGGCTCGGGCGTATTGTCGTTGAATCTGGGAAAGGCACCGGGGATGGGCATGCCGTTCCTCGAGCGGGGCGGCACGCTTCCTGCATCGTCACTTCGTCCTCCTAGCGACTGAGCGAATGATTCTTGACTCTTGTTGCCGAATCGTCTCAGTGTCGGGGGTTCTGGCTGGCCTAGAGACGAGCTCATGCTGCCGACAGGTGAGTTGGTCCCGTTGAGGGGTGGACCATTGAGAGGTGGCGGCCGTCGCGGGCCTGGCGGTCCTGGCGAGGGAGTCCCGTAGTTTGAAGGCACATTTGTAGCACTGAGACTGCTCTGACTAGCAGCAGCATCTGGAGACATCGCCGGGGGTCTGAACGGAGGCTGGGCGCCGGGCGGGGGTCGTCGTTCGTTTCTCAAGATCTGTCCCATTTCGGCCTGGTCGAAGCCCGACAGCTCGGGGACCTTTCCCCCTGTGTACTTGCCATAGATCTTGACCAAGCTGGCGATGAAGAACTTCTTTTCCTTGTCTGACTGAGCATCCCAGAAATAGGGTTTGCCAATGGTGACGACAAAGCCCGTGTCCCCGGCATATTCACGAAGTGTTGGGTTGGCAGGGGGGCCGGTGAAGGATTCAATGGCGGACAGGT